ACGTAGTGTATGAGTGTGAATGTTTGTGTGTGTGGATGTTATCCAGGGATGGGTTGTGGCTGGAATGGCATCCGCTGCGTAAAAACGTGCTGGATAAGTTGGCGGTTCATTCCGCTGTGGCAACCCCTAATTATTAAAGGGACTAAGCTGAAAAGAAAATGAATGAATGAATGATAATTATAATTATAATAATAATAACTATTCATTTTCTCTTCAGCTTACCCCCTTATAATTAGGGGTCATCACAGTGGAATGAACCACCAAGTTATTATTCAGTTTTGGCTAATGCAAACAATTTTTTCATGAATCCATCATCCAGTTGTGCAAGAAAACATACAATGTAACTGAAGTCATCTTTCACTTTTTTATTGTTTTTAAACAAAGAAACCATTTTACTAAAAGCTTTTATTATAAATCTTGAACCTTACTCTTGAAACAATAAATGATCAATAAAAAGGTGTTAAGCACCAAAAGCGGCTTATATTAAAATTAATTTGAAAATTAGTTTAGTTTAGTTTAGTTTTGTGGCTAAGTGGCTATTGTTGTTATCCATGAATTTTCTAATTATTTTTTTTTACAAGAGAGGCTATAAATCATGAAGCTCAAATTATAAAGCTCAAATACTGACTAAGGAAAATTGAATGTGCTGGCCAGTTTGTTATTTGCTTGATAAATTATAATTATACAGTGTTTAATTTAAAACTTTAACAGATTTCTATTTTTTTTTCTAATGATATATGATGTAATACATTTGTATTTCAAAAATAAATATTTATTAATTTTACTTTATTTTAAATTTTTAGGAAATATTTTGGTACATCAAAAAGTGTTGTTATGATTACCATCCAACAAGGTAATCCCTACTGAAAAAAAAAAAAAAAAAAAAAAAAGCTTAAACCAGCCTAGGCCGCTGGCTGGTTTTAGCTGGTCGACCAGGCTGGTTTTAGAGGGGTTTTGGCCATTTTCAGGCTGATTTCCAGCCATTTCAAGCCTGGTCTTAGCTGGTCTGGCTGGGAGATTACCAGCTAAAAGCTTGACCAGCAAAGCTGGAAGCCCAGCCAAAACCAGCTATGTCCAGCTTAAACCAGGCTGGTCAAGCTGGTTTTAGGATTTAGCTAATCATTTTCCAGCCTGACCAGCTAAGACCTGGCTGGAAATGGCTGGCTGGTTTAGGCTGAATTTTTCAGCAAGGATCTAGCTAAATAGTGCTTAAAATGTCACTAAAATGCAGTATTTAAATATAATAAATAAATAGAAAATGAGGCAAATAACCGCAAAAAGATCCACATTTTGAGAAAAAAAGAACCACTCCTTTCACCAGGCTGGCTACTGGCCTGTAATGGCAGTGGGGTCTTAACAGAAAAATTATTAATGTCTTTCTTGGATGATAGAATTATGACACTGTTTTTGTACATTTCTGCTTAAAGGTGTGGGTTTATTTTAACACTTTCAGAGAGTTTTATATGAGAACTTTATATGCAAGTCCTAACCCAACAAACACATATACGTTGTAGCGATGTCTGCACAACGTTGTATTTTTTTAAAGGCAACGTTGTCTCTTACGTGCTCGCTACATTGTCACAACGTAGAAATGTAAGACGTGAGAAGGCTGTAGCAACGTTGTCGTGCGACATTCAGCAACCGCGAGGCGGCGTTCTTACTACTTGTATTAAGATTTTTTTCTGGCAGTTTATCAATACTGCCTAGAATACAGGATAAGCAGCAATTCTTTTCCAGTATTGCTAAATATGAAATATTATTCATTTATTTTTCCTATTTAATTTAACAATTGCATGTTTATACTTTAAAGTGTAAAAATGCCACACAAATGAATATAATCAAACTTTTTATTATATATTTCACAACATTTAATACATACAGTTCGCATACAGTATCTAATTATAAGCAAACAGTATAAAATAAAGTTTAGATTATATATATATATATATATATATATATATATATATATATATATATATATATATATATATATATATATATATATATATATAATTAAACTAAAGGGTAAACAAACAAGAAAAGTAAACAAGAAATCATTAAAATGTAAATAAATATATAAATAAATATATAAATTAAAATTCAAACACTGGGCAGTGAAGCTCTGGACTAGAGAATACAGCAGACCGGGGAGCGCAGCTGAAGACCAGTCGTAGTTGTTGGTATGGAGAAAGCAGTCAGAGGAAGAAACAAATTCAACAGATAATCCAGCTTCAGAGATCCACAGCAGACACAAGTCAAAATAGGCAGTGAACAAGAGAGGACAGATCAGAGCTTGACACAACAGCACTACACAGGAAATGACTATGACTAGCAAGTTATTGAAGTTTCAGACATTTATTGTAATTTCATTACATATAAAATCTCCAGAGTAATTATGTAGCCTACTTTATTTTAATGTTTTAATAATATATCATATACCAAAATTACATACAATTAAATAAATTTAGAGTTACAGGGAAAACAGGTTTAAGTTAACAGAAGTCAGAGTTAGTCTCCGAATACTTACTTAAATTATGAGAAGAGAAAGAACAGGCCCTGTAGTTGGGGTGTTGCTCACTGTAAATGGAATGTTAAACTTAGTGTCATTTCAATAACAGCTGTACAAAATAATAAAGTAATTTTTCATAAGCATGATCTATTTTCCACATTATGGACATGCGGTTTTAGGTAACATAACTACATTTAATAGTAAATAGAGTAGTATACTTCTTACCTCATCCAATTCTTCTTTCCATAGATCAGGAATTACAGCAACACTGATCTGAGGTGAATTCAACAGCTGAAAACATTCTGAAAGACAAGTTACACGAGTAATTTGAAAACAACAGTGAGTGGTTAAACAATAGAGTTTTATGCAACTTACGCATAATTAAAATCCAGAAATTATCAATAGAAGATTACCTCCATGTAAAAATAGCCTGTTGAGTAAAGAAAAGAGTGGGTTTTAAATAAAACATCAAAAGACCAATCAAAATAGAAATTTAGACTAGCAGACCTTTTAATTACTATCTATATTAATTAGGCATATGAACATTAATTTATATACTTTAACTTATAGGGATAGCTCACCCAAAACTGACAATTCTGCCATTTTAGCCTCATCCTTTATTTGTTGCAAACTTATTTAGCTTTTTTTCTGCTAAACAATAAAGAAGATATGTTAAATAAAGCTGGAAAACTGTAACTATTTAATTCCATAGTGTTTTCCTACTATGAAAGCAAATGCTTACAGTCTTTAGTGTTCAACAGAATAAAGAAACTTAAAGGTTTGGAATCACTTATTATTTACAGGGCAAATAATTCGTGAGTACATATCATTTTTGAGTGAACTGTTCCTTTAACGGGACGCAAACTGCACAGAGATGTTTTGTTTTTAAAAGTTATTTTGTGTGTTTTGTAAAAAGTGGGTCGGCTTGTGTGATGAAGTATCATACTAACTGATCACGACGGATATGGAAAAAACTGAACTTCAAAAACATTATTGTCCATTTGATTAAAGACAAGGCGTAGGTAAATAATCAGGAAATGTTTTATCGAGAGATTTAACATGTGATGTTGGAAAAGATTGTTGTCGAAATCGTAGGTTTGTTTGAATATTCACGATTTACGTATCTTATTTAGCAAGAAGAAATAAAGCAATACTCACGTCTCCTCGGTCGTTGATGAATGAGACGACGGCTTGTTGAAATTTAAACTGATTCAGCTGTGACCAGTAAATGTTGTACAGTGGTCGTCCACGCAACCTAAGCACAACCTAAAGCATGCGCGCAACAAACACACAACGTTGCCTCAACGTAGCGACCTTCCTACAACGTTGTACCAACATTGCAAAAAGGTTGAGGATTCTACGTTGTTTCTAAAGGTTGTCACAACGATGTCATAAGGTTGCCATTTAAACATCATGAGGGTCGCATGCTTTAGGTTGTGCTTAGGTGGCGTGGACGACCACTGTACAACATTTACTGGTCACAGCTGAATCAGTTTAAATTTCAACAAGCCGTCGTCTCATTCATCAACGACCGAGGAGACGTGAGTATTGCTTTATTTCTTCATGCTAAATAAGATACATAAATCGTGAATATTCAAACAAACCTATGATTTCGACAACAATCTGTTCCAACATTACACACACACAAAAGCCGTAATGAAGTTATTACGAGCGAGTAACATTTCGGCATTCCGTTAACGGACGACAACAACATTAAAATCATTATGTTAAATCTCTCAATAAAACATTTCCTGATTATTTACCTACGCCTTGTCTTTAGTCAAATGGACAATAATGTTTTTGAAGTTCAGTTTTTTCCATATCCATAGTGATCAGTTAGTATGATACTTCATCACACGAGCCGACCCACTTTTTACAAAACACACAAAATAACTTTTAAAAACAAAACACCTCTGTGCAGATTGCGTCCCGTTAAAGGAACAGTTCACTCAAAAATGAAATGTACTCACGAATTATTTGCCCTGTAAATAATAAGTGATTCCAAACCTTTAAGTTTCTTTATTCTGTTGAACACTAAAGACTGTAAGCATTTGCTTTCATGGTAGGAAAACACTATGGAATTAAATAGTTACAGTTTTCCAGCTTTATTTAATACATCTTCTTTATTGTTTAGCAGAAAAAAAGCTAAATAAGTTTGGAACAAATAAAGAATGAGGCTAAAATGGCAGAATTGTCAGTTTTGGGTGAGCTATCCCTATAAGTTAAAGTATATAAATTGAGGTTCATATGCCTAATTAATATAGATAGTAATTAAAAGGTCTGCTAGTCTAAATTTCTATTTTGATGGGTCTTTTGATGTTTTATTTAAAACCCACTCTTTTCTTTACTCAACAGGCTATTTTTACATGGAGGTAATCTTCTATTGATAATTTCTGGATTTTAATTATGCGTAAGTTGCATAAAACTATTGTTTAATCACTCACTGTTGTTTTCAAATTACTTATGTAACTTGTCTTTCAGAATGTTTTCAGCTGTTGAATTCACCTCAGATCAGTGTTGCTGTAATTCCTGATGGAAAGAAGAATTGAATGAGGTAAGAAGTATACTATTCTATTTACTATTAAATGTAGTTATGTTACCTAAAACCGCATGTCCATAATGTGGAAAATAGATCATGCTTATGAAAAATTACTTTATTATTTTGTACAGCTGTTATTGAAATGACACTAAGTTTAACATTTCATTAACAGCGAGCAACGCCACAACTACAGGACCTCTTCTCATAATTTACAGTAAGTATTCGGAGACTAACTCTGACTTCTGTTAACTCAAACCTGTTTTCCCTGTATCTCTAAATTTATTTAATTGTTTGTAATTTTGGTATATGATATATTATTAAAACATTAAAATAAAGTAGGCTACATAATTACTCTGGAGATTTTATATGTAATGAAATTACAATAAATGTCTGAAACTTCAATAACTTGCTAGTCATAGTCATTTCCTGTGTAGTGCTGTTGTGTCAAGCTCTGATCTGTCCTCTCTTGTTCACTGCCTATTTTGACTTTTGTCTGCTGTGGATCTCTGAAGCTGGATTATCCGTTGAATTTGTTTCTTCCTCTGACTGCTTTCTCCATACCAACAACTACGACTGGTCTTCAGCTGCGCTCCCCGGTCTGCTGTATTCTCCAGTCCAGAGCTTCACTGCCCAGTGTTTGAATTTTAATTTATATATTTATTTATATATTTATTTACCTTTTAATGATTTCTTGTTTACTTTTCTTGTTTGTTTACCCTTTAGTTTAATTATATATATATATATATATATATATATATATATATATATATATATATATATATATATATATATAAACTTTATTTTATACTGTTTGCTTATAATTAGATACTGTATGTGTACTGTATTTATTAAATGTTGTGAAATATATAATAAAAAGTTTGATATTCATTTGTGTGGCATTTTTACACTTTAAAGTTTACACATGCAGTTTTTAAATTAAATAGGAAAAATAAATGAACAATATTTCATATTAAGCAATACTGGAAAAGAATTGCTGCTTATCCTGTATTCTAGGCAGTAATGATAAACTGCCACAAAAAAATATCAATACAAGTAGTAAGAACGCCGCCTCGCGGTTGCTGAATGTCGCACGACAACGTTGCTACAGCCTTCTCACGTCTTACATTTCTACGTTGTGACAATGTAGCGAGCACGTAAGCGGCAACGTTGCCTTTGAAAAAATACAACGTTGTGCAGACATCGCTACAACGTAAATGTGTTTGTTGGGCGACCCTCATGATGTTTAAATGGCAACCTTATGACATCGTTGTGACAACCTTTAGCAACAACGTAGAATCCTCAACCTTTTTGCAATGTTGATACAACGTTGTAGGAAGGTCGCTACGTTGAGGCAACGTTGTGTGTTTGTTGGGAATTTTTGTTATGTTTATTTAAACGTTTCAATCTCTTCTGCATTGCTGTCTTCTGAGCGCATGCTATTTGATATGTAATTCACAACATGAAGAAAATGATTTTTTTCTCTTTTTCTTTTATTTGATCAAGCCATACAAAATAAAACGAACATATACAGTCAAGGCCGAAATTATTCATACATACCCATGTGTATGAGTAATGAATATGAAGGGAATTTCTCCTTGTCTTCTTCATAGACATGAATTAGTTGTTATAGTAACAACGCCCCCATGTTGTGTACATGAGACACAACGCAACGCTTGATCTTAGAACGCCTTTATTAAGAACTTTACAACACAAGACAATAGTTTTGTTTAAACAATGTGGATGCAAATGCTTACTGTCTGGCATGGTCATGGAATTCTCCACAGGGATCTATCGATATAAATTAATTTAACGAATAGTGTATCAATAATTAAAGTCGAACATAATTGGTTAAACCTGACAAGCGCAGAGAAAAGTAACAGACACCACGTTGCAACGCTGTCAATTGCCATTTGCCACTTTGGAGGTCTGGGAAAGAGGTTACACCTGAAAAATTAACACTGGTAACTTTAGAAATTGAGGTGAAAATATATAGTAAAATGTGAAAAAATAACGTTTTTTTTCAGACCAAACCGGTCACTTAAAAAACTATTATTGCCCTTTAGCCGCATATTCTCCATTTGTGTTTCTGTGGCGATTCTCAGTGTGGTGTGTTTGTGTGAGAGTAGCGCCGACTGTCGGGATGCATCGAGCAAGTGGACGGACCGAAGGGCGCAGCGGATGTTATGGAGAGTAATATATTTCCCGTAAAAGCTGACGAAGGGGATTGAAGCGCCGTTAAACAACCATGAATGCACAGACTGATTTCAGCTGAAGCAACAGGTAAGACAAAAGCGTTGAATGTGACGTGTCAAACAGGTGTTTAAATGACAGGTGTGTGTTCAGGTGCGTTGACAGGCCATTGACAGTGTTACATACAGTAACATCAACGCTAAAACAGCTTTATTATGGAAGGACGGATTCAGCACAGTGTTATGTTAATGTTTGAAGCAGTTTTGGATCGGTGATACTTTTTGTATGCGGATTATTGAAAAGTTGAAGTGAACTCTGGACTTCAGGCAGGTTAGCATTATGCTAGTAAACAGGAAATAGAGTATTTCAAATAATATTTTTTGGCATGTTCTATTGTAATACTAAGCTTTTGACATGGTACAATTGCGTCATCATGTTTTGCTTAACACTTTATATATCAAAGTACTACGTAAATATCATAGTACCGTATTGTTATGGAATGCTATTCTTGATTCGAATCACGTTTCATGAGTTTTCGATTAAATAAAATGTTCAAATGTTGGTGACGGTTCACTTTTATTATCATAATGCATGAGTTTGAATAATATTTATTAATTAATTAAAATGTAATGTTTATTATAATTATGCAATATAATGTATAGTTCGAGTGAAATAGCTGAGGAACAGGGAAAGGAACAATATTTGAGATTGTTTACTGCTTAAAAAGTAATTTGTACATTACTGCCCCAACAGTGATTATACATAAATATAGCAATTAACAAGCTTAATGCTTCTTTAAGCTTTAGTCACTGTGCCTGCCCACATTTTAGTTTTATGCTAGTTTTGAAACCACACAAACGCGCACACACCTACACACATTTAATTAATTAAAAATAATGGTTAAATGTTGCCAACAAGTGGACGGTCAGTTATTATGAATAATAATGAATACATAATAAAATAATCACGAGTAGGCATGAGTTGATATCCAGTTTTAAAACCGCTAAACTTTTCTGTCATACTGTTCATATAGTATACGTATATTGTTCTTTTTATTGAATATTTTATTTAGTTTTTAGAGCAACAGTATCTCCAGCAGAAAAAGACCCTCCACATTAAAATGTACTGGTCAACCAACGATTCAGAAAACATCTGAAAAACGAACTGCTTATGCAGTAACATCCAAGCATGCTGGCCTGAACAGTGCAGCGGCTTACTTTTTTATCCAAAAAAAGAGAAAAGATTCAAAGATGCCTTTTCAAGTTGTAAAGAAATCTGTGTTTTTAAAACCAATAAAGACAGCAGAAGTCTCTTTCAGCAGAAGTGTTTCTTAAAATTACATTTTAGGGATGTCCTGATCAGGTTTTTTTTGCCCTTAATCTGAGTCTGAGTAATTTGATTTTTACTATCTACCGATAACCAAACCCGATGCGATACGTCTATAATACATAAAAACTAAAAAAAAAGAATAAAAAAGAGCAAAGAAACAGATCCAGAATGTTCCTTATTTTTTTGAATAATTTACCTTATTTTACCATTCAACAACTCTGTTAACAAACAGAGCACTTCTGTGAGGTTGCTTGAATAATCAAGCGATAAACAACATATATTTTTTACTTTTGGACTTAAATGCAACAGTAAATATAAAAAAGCTAATATAAAAACAAATAGCACCTCAACTTAAAATGCCTGGCAGGCAATCACAAGTAGGCATGGGCCGGTATAAGATTCTGAGTGTATGATAACCTTGGAAAAAAAAAATCACGGTTTCAATGTTTTATGGTATTCTGCTGTCTTCATTTGTTTTAAAAAACACAGAGTTCTTTCAACTTGAAAAGGCTGTTTGAATATTGTTTCTGCTGAAGATACTGTTGTCCTAAAAAACTTAAAATGAAATGTAAAAAAAAAAGAAAAAAAAACTTGCATATACCGTAGGAACGGTATAGCAGAACATTTTGGCGGTTTTAAAACCTTGACTTTTACAAACCACGGTATACCTTGAAAATGATTATCGTCCCATACCTATTCCCAAGTTTAAAAATCTCATAGTTTGCTATGGCAATGTTGTTGTCCTTAACTTTATAATACCTCCAGACTGCAGACATACTCACGTTTTCCGCTTCAAGCTACTTCCATGTTCTACTCTGCCAGCATTTGACCAATAGTGTCTCTGCAACAAGGTGATGTCATGCCGCATGCGTTGCTGTTTCTGTGTGAAATCAAGAAAGAGGTTTAACTCTGTGCCACTGCATAACTATAGATGTTAAAAACAATGAGAATATATATATATATATATATATATATATATATATATATATATATATATATATATATATATATTATAATATAATGTCTATTATAATTATAATGTCTGATTCCAGTGGAGTCTAAAACCGCATGATCAGGCCCGATTTCCGATCATGTGATCTGGACATCCCTATTAAATATGTTGGGTTCAATAATTTTTACCCACTCTATAATCACAATACTCTGTTACCATAAAACCATGATATTTTTATTCAATGTTTTCATACTAACAGAATCTTGTACCGGCCCATGCCTAATCACATACAGTAGGAAAAACATTTCTTTAGCATTATTATTCAGATGAGCAGCGAATTTTTTTTTTCTTTTCGATAATGCATATTGTACGATTTCATAATCTATATTTTGTAGCTTATGAAATGTTTGTTTTGTGTTTTTACAATCTTTTATTTCATTGTTGTACTGTTTTGCTTGCCTTGTATTGCTAGTATTTTGCCTTGTAGCACTTTGAGTTTAAGAAAAGCGCATTACAAATAAAATTGGTTATTATTATTATTATTATTATTATTATTATTATTATTATTATTATTATTATTATTATTATTATTATTATTATTATTATCATCATTTACCATTGACTGAGGTTACATGAATGCCTTTCCAAGACACCCTTTTTAATCAATACTGGGTAATTATGCTGTACTTAGGTTAATGGGCTTTTACACTGTTGTGCATTTTGTTGTAATTAGCTTAGTGGGGTTTTAGTGGCCTTTTTTTCAAAAGTATTTCTGACAGTGTCAAAGGAGTGTTTTGAGTCATTATCTAACTGCCCGGTGAACCCTTGAGCAACTAGTCGGGACACTGAACAAAAAGTTTACAGCAGAGAGAGTGAAGGTCTTGGAAATTAACTTTTCACCTGATTACAAAAGAGTTTATTGCTCTGTGATTGTAGATAACTGTGGGGAGAAACGTACATTTGTAGAAGCTACTGTATGTCGAGGTATTGTAGGAGGGTGCATTTTTAGAGGTATCAGCCTTTTAAGACCAAACGATAATGTTAAATACAAAGGGGGAAAGGCTTTAATGACAATACATCAGTATTCTAGTATTTTCATCAGTCAGTTATTTCTATCCAATGCTGTACTTTGTCAGTAGGAAATACCAGTTTACCTCCTGGGTTGCACCAGCTCATAAGTTCTTTCTTAAATTGGAACATAAAGTCCACCCTAGAAGCTTAGTAACTACTAGTTTGTAACTAAATGTATTATTAATTCGGTTGCACCGCATTAGGCATGGGACGATAAATGGTATCAAGGTGTACTGTGTAAAGTCAAGGTTTTTAAAACTGCCTAAATTTTCTCTTATACCTTTTCTAAGGCTTATGTTGGTTTTTTTTAACGTTTTTCATAACCATTTAATTTTTTAGGGCAAATGTATCTTCAGCAGAAAAAGAACCCCTACAGCAAAAGCTACTGGTCTAAATTTTTTTTTAAATATTTCTTAAAATGGAATATATTGTGTTCAGTGGGGGGAAAAAGTTGTGTTTTTTTACTCCGATATTCAAGTAATCCAGTAATCACAATACCATAATACTGTGAAAACGTGATATTTTTATCCAAGGTTATCATACCATCAGAATCTTATACAGGCCCATGCCTACACCACATGTTCTATAGTCAAACTGTATTTAATAGGTCGTAAGCTCTCCGTAAAGTCATGCATAGTCACACTGAATGACATAATATGGAATAAAAAAACATTTATATTGTTAAACTGCTTTAAAATTCTGCAACTAATGCATCTAAATATAAATGTTCTATGAAAATGAAATGGCAAATTACATATATGTACATAAATGTACATTTATAGTACATTACATGATAGTCAGTCACTCTAGATCAGAGGTGCCCAAATTGCTGCATGATGGGGAGTTAGTTGGGGCGAATGCCTTTTGAGAGATAACCATTTTGAATTTAACATAACCTTTTGTTTCTTTGTTTAATTGAGGAGCTACATAAAAAGCCAACCAAAAATAAATGTTTCATTTAAATGTTGTTAATGATTCAGACTTTCAAAATGTAAATATTGTCACTTGACAGATAGAGGACACAAGACATCTGAAAGCAAATTAAGGCAAAGGCAGGAGCAGCTCTCCATTGTGTTATAAATAGATTTTTTTTTTTTTTTTGTATTTACTATAACAAGTTCTTTATAAAAAATAAAAATGACCATGCATCATTAATTTTAATTATGATATTATTAATTAATAAATAATAGTATTATTAATTAATTAATAATATATTAATTACGACACTGCATAATTAATGTTTTAAAGCAACATTTTATATTTGTTTTTAAATCTTAGCAAATTAAATAGCAAAATACCCATGGCAAATTTAATATAATACAATTTATACTCAACAAATATACAATGTATATTCAACTTCGGCCCACAGCCCTCAATCAAGTTTGGTTTTTGGCTCTTTATAAGAAAAAGTTTGGGCACCCCTGCTCTAGATGACACACATACCTGCACCGTAAGCTGTAAATGCACATGAAATACGCATGAAGTTATTCAAACATTAAACTTGATTTTTTTTTAAAAAGCCCAAACATGAAAGAGAAAAGAGCAGGGAGAAGAACTCAGTCATGAATAAATTCCTCTTTTAATTTCATAAATGAAAAAAATAAATAAGGCTGTAAAGAGAGGGAGATTATTATTCATTATTATTGTCAGCTCCTCAATGAAAACTAATCTTGCTTTTATCTCTTTTCTACCATTATACATGGCTGCTGTAAATATTACCTGGAATGTAGCATTACGT